CAGCCGGCCCCGCGAGGCGCAGCACATCAACAAGTCCCTCTCGGCGCTGGGCGACGTCATTTACGCCCTGCGCTCCCGGCAGGGCCACGTGCCCTTCCGCAACTCCAAGCTGACCTACCTGCTGCAAGACTCGCTCAGCGGCGACAGCAAGACCCTCATGATGGTGCAGGTAGGGGCCGGGCACCCGGCGCCTGTAGACATCCCTGCGGCCAGTTGGCCCAGTTTTGGGGATGGGTTTGGTTCCCTGCTCGCCCCGGTTCTGGGGCAGGCGGGAGGGATGCTGGAAGCAGGAGCTGGGCTGGGACCAGGGGACCGGGCTTGCGCATGGGGTCATCATCTGATCTGCAGCCGCGGTGCCGGGGGCAGCTCTGTCCCCATCTCTGCACCCCCATGAGGCTGAGGGATGGGGGATGAACTTGGAGGTCCACGATCCTGCACAGGGGTGCTGTCCCTGTGGGCACAATGTCCTTGCATGCTGACATCTCCCCATCTTGCTGGGAGGGTTTTATGCTCTGGCAGCTCCTCCGTGCCCTGTGACACCCCCCCCCTCCCCCGCTGTCTGCGCCCACACCGAGCCCCCTCGGGGGCTGTCCGAGCCCCCGGCACCTGCTGCAGCTTTTCCCAGCTGTCCCTCGCGCCGGGGCAGTTGGCGACAGGGGATCCGGCTGGCTCACGCTGGCCCAGGCGCGGATGGACGGGGCTATCCTGGGAGCAGCAGGTTAATAATAGCATCTCGCCAGTCTGGCACCAGCGTGTTTGCCGGTGTGGGGGAGCCCTGGGGGTGTGCAGGCAGCCGGCAGGGTGACTTTCTGCCTGCTCCTGCCTGACCGCAGGTCTCCCCCGCCGAGAAAAACACCAGCGAGACGCTGTGCTCCCTGAAGTTTGCTGAGAGGGTTCGCTCCGTGGAGCTGGGTCCCATCTCCCGCAAGGCTGAGCTGGCCTCCTGGCCCAGCCAAGAGCAGCTGGAGGTAACCGAGGGCCCGCTGGTGCCCTTCCTCTTCCCCCTCACCCCAGGGCGGGGTCCCCCTGTTTTGCCCCCCATGTGTGATCCCCAGGGCTGTTTGCTGTTGGGTGTCCCACTGCAGCCGCCTCCGTTGGGGAGCATCACCCAGCGGGACACGGGCTGTCCCCAGGCAGTGGCATCCAGCCGATGCTGACACCTTGGCTCTTCCAAGCCCTGTTTTGCAGCAGCCCCGTGGTACCCCCAGAGCAAATTTGGACACCTCTACCCAGGCAGGCACAATCTGCCCACGAGCCCATCCCCGTCCCTTCCCTCTGGGGACTGGCGTGGGCTGACCCTGTGGCCGTGCCCCGTCTCCCCCCAGGGTGACTCGCCGGGGACTGCAGCACCCTCTGGCCGGGGCCACCCGTCCTCCAGCCCGGGGCAGCTCTCTGGCCGCGCCACCTCCATCCGCAGGAAGCTCCAGACCTCAGGTGGGTGGAGGGGCACTGCGGCCCCGCTCCGCACCCTGGGTGCCCGGCTGGGGTCTCTCTGTCAGAGGAGGCTCCCACCGCTAGCCTCGTCCCAGCCAGAAGCTGGCAGGCAAAGCCTGCGCAGGGGAGCTAGCTGATTTGTAATCATCTCATTAACTAATGGCTAATTAGCCATCGGGAGCCTGGTTAGCACTTCCCCAAGAGCACCCTGGTGCAAAGCCGCTGCCGGCAGCTCGGGGTGCATGGGGGGAGCGATGCTGCAGGACAGCAGCAGTGTCCCCCAGGCTGAACCTCTCTCCCTTTTGATTTCAGCCTGAATTAGGGGCAGCCGAGGCTGCCAGGTGAGTGCCTGCGGCCGGGAGCCGGTGGAGGGCTCTGCTTTGGCCCCGCTTCCCGGGCAGGGCAGGGGTGCCGGGCTGCGCCGCTCGCGGGGATGCTCGTGGGATGCTTGCAGTACCAGCTCAGCTCAGCATCTGCTGCAATGCCACCGGATGGGGCTGAGGCAGTGACGGCCGTGCCCCCTGCCCGGTGTGACCCACACATGTCTCCCCCCAGGGAAGCTGAGGCCAGTCCCTGTGTGACGAGTGCCAGAGCCGGCACCAAACTCGCTGCAGGACCCAGCCCCTCACGGTGCTACGGAGAGCCGGCTGCTGGAAGACACGAAGGCTTCGGTGCCGTTCCCTCACCCACCAGGACCTATGACCAGACGGTGACGGCACCTCTCACCATGAGCACCATGGGGCCAGGGTCTCCCAGCAGCCGGACCCCCATCTCAGGGTGGGGGACAGCAGTGCTGGGCAAGGATCTGCCCCCTCGGAGGCTCAGCTCTGTGACTTTTTATTTTTGCTGGACGGATGTTTTTGGCCAGAGTGGGGAGCTGCTGGGTACTCCCTCCATCTCTCCAGCTTCGTTTTTACAACAGTAGAGGTATCTGGCTGGAGGGGGGGCTTGGAGCCAGGCGAGCCCCCGGACACGTCTCTGCTACCCCCACAGGACCAGTCTGGCCACGGCTGCCCCAAGATTGTGTCCAGGCAGCTGCCCGCTGTCTTCCGGAGCAGCGCTTCCCCCATTTTAAGCCAGAAAAAATCCCAGCAGCTCCTTTCCCCGTAGGTTTCTCAAGCCCTGTTGTTGCATGAAGGCACCCCGGTGCCGTGCATGAGCCGAGCTGCCGTTCATCGTGGTGCTGGTGCTGCCAGGGCCCCGCGCCAGCCGCCCTGGCACAGAGGGAGAGCGGTTGCGGAGATGCCCGTGTTACACAGCACCAGGGTGGATTTAGCAGTCTCAAATGAAGCTATTGTAAAGTCATTTACCAGTTGTCTTGTCAAGAGAGATCACACTGTGGTCGAGATGAAAGTGTTTGAAATAGTTATACCCTGTTTACATGGTCTTGGAATGGAAAACAAGTGGGGGAAAAAAAAAAAAAACAACCCCAAACCTCCAGCCCAAAAGCCCGTTGGCTTATGTGTCAGGATGGCGGCTGGCAGGGGGCTCAGAGGAGACAGCACTACCCCCTGCACCCCTGAGCACCCACCTGTGGGTACGCTTCCTCCTGCTGCAAATAACCGACTGGATGCACTGATGGCTCCTTCCCACCGCAGCCCTCTCCTCTCACTCTTCCACAGCATATTCTATTTAAAAAAAAAAAAAGGGAAAAATAAGTTTAACCTTTTGTAAGATTAGATGTTTCTATGTATTTTAATAATTAAAAAAAAAATCCTGTTTTGTAACAAAACTTATTTTAAATAAACTGTTGAAGCCAGTCCTCCTGCACTGCTGTTATTTCCTTGCAGGGGGTTTGAGCCCGGCTCAGGGCGGGTGCTCCCTCCTGCACTGCTTGCACAGCCTCTCCCCCGCAGCTGGAGAAGCCCCTTGAATCCCTCCTCTCGCAGCTGTCTCTGGGCCAGCCTGGCAGCACAGCCCCCCAGATCGCAGCTATCGGGCTCTCTTAATTAGCAGGAGCTTGTTAAACCACAAGTAAGCCCCAGCGCTGCAGCACCTTGCTCCATCTCCTGCTTCTCCCAGCTCTGTGGGCTGTTCAGGGCTGGAGGCAGGCGGATCACACCTCGATCAGGTCCGGGCACAGGATTGTCCCCAAAGAGGCCCCAGGTGAGGCAGCGAGGGGCTGCAGCGCAGGCGGGACAGGCACCGTGAGTTCCCTTGGTGCTCGAAGCAGGCAGCATCTTCAGCCCCCGTCATGCTGTCCCGCGGTGGCACTTTGCCAGGGCCTCTTGCTGCGTGAGCCACCATCAGAGCAGGACGCTCCCCTTCGCTCCTAAAACCTGACCGGGTTTGGGTGAAGTACCAGCGAGGTAGGGATAGGCTTTAGCTTTCCTGCTGGCCCCGCTACACACACCTGAAACAGCCTCCTACATCCCCGAACACCAGCGGCTGTCTCAAGAGCTCACAGAGAACCACGTAGACAAAACACTGCACACCCCCCCCCGTGTGCCGCTGCCTCGAGATCTGCTAGAGATCAGGTGGGGAGAAGAGATCTGCACCCGGCCAGGGAAGGGACAAGCCACAAACGATGAAGTTCCTCTTTGGGGTGGGAACTACCCAGCAGAGTGAAACCTCCTCCAGGGTTTCAGCAAGCCACCTGGCTAGTGCTGTCTCTCCGACTTGCTCACCGCAGCCTCCCAGCAGGAAGGGTGAGAACGGCCGGCTTCCTCATGGGACACGCAGGGAACAGAGCCCCGCTTTCCCTGGACGCTCCCAGCCAGGAGCTGTGCCAAGGTGAACAGTACTTCAAGAGATTCAGGCATTTAACACAGCTTTTTAAAAAAAGTTACAAATCTTTTAATAAAATTCATTATAAGTTACAGTTTCCTGGACAACAGGCTCCAGCGTATAAAATGGGAGACAGGCTGGGAGGAGCAGGGGAAGCACCAACAGGAACCTCTTTCCCCACAGGAAAGAAGAAAGAGGGACAGAAAGGTTCTGACAGACATTTATTGGGGGAAAAAAAAACAAAAAAAACCAAACCTCTAAGAGTGGTCCAGTGAATGTAGAAAGACATTAGTCCATGTCCCTCTGTTCCACCACCCTCCCAAATCCTTACCCCCAAAGGCAAACACATACGACAAGTCCTGTTTAAGTCACCTATTTTAACAGATCCAGGTAGACCTCAGTTCCCAGCAACAGTCTGAAGATACTAATCTTCTGTGGCCCAGGGTGCCAGCAGGGGTTTTTGAGAAGCCAGGAGACAGCCTCCTCTCAACACAGGTCCTTGAGACTGCACCAGGCACGGTGTCCTGGCTCACGTTTGATGAAGCAAGCCAAAGGGGCTGGTCCCACATGGCAGTTGAAGTCCCTTCTGCAGGGAAAGGGCACTCCACCCCACAGCAGGCTTTTGTGGGGCGGACGCTGCAGTCCTCAGCGCGCTGCACGGAGAGAGCGGGGCCAGCCGGCCCCAGCCCACAGAGCCAAGCGACACGAACCGACAGCACACACGGGTGAAGGAGGGGTGACAGCAGGTTTGGAGCCCTCCTGTCAGGGAAAGGCCAGCACACAGAGACAGGGCAAGCTGAGAGCTTGATACTGAGATGAAGAGCTGAAATGAAGCCGCTTCCCTACAGGGGCTTTGCGGGGCCCTCCGCCAGCCAGGTCCTCTCACGCAGCACGGGCATCTCTCCAACTCGGGTCCTCCATCCAGCCCGTAAGGCACTGGGGCTGGGCAGGCGACCCGCCAGCGAGATTCCACTCCCCTAGCATGCTGCGGGGGGGGGAAGATGGAGACATGGAGAGAGATGAAAGCCAGCCAGACCAAGAGCAGAGGGGAGCTTGGCCACCTGTGTTTGCACGTGAGGAGGCGGCGGCTGTCACTCCAGGACAGCCATGAGGAGATGCAGTTCCCGAAAGGCACTACCATGGCGGCCACTGAGCCCAGACTTGTTCTTGACAATGTTGCTGATGTTTTTCAGCTGCTTGTAGCACAGCTTGCATTTATGGAGCCTGAAAAAAAAAGAAAGAAAACAGATAGCAGACACAGCATGAATCCTCAGCTGCCTAGGAGATGTGCTTGTTCCTGTAGTGCCAAAGACGCAAGTCAAGCGGGAGAGAAAACACAAGCCCTGCAAATGGCCTGGAAGAGGCTGAAATGTGAGCATGGCTCTGCAGAAACACCATGTATTCAGCCCACGTCCTGATGACACAGGAGAATGGCATCCACATAAGGGCTTTTTCACTCCTCTTTCCCCCTTTGGCAGTGAAGTCCAGGGAGGAAGGAGGTGCTGGTTTTTGGAGGGCCGATTCTCAGAGCAGAGCTATCCTGTGAATGAACTGGAAATCCAGGGCCTGGCTGACAACTCATGTGTCTTGTGAGGTGGAGGGTGAAGCCACAGGGTGGTTTTACTCTTGACATACTCGCACTTTGTTTAGATATGACTCAATACACAGTGACAGAGGGAAAAGCAGTCCTTGGTCTTTTTCTCAGAGCAGGAAGGTTTGGTGTTTGCAGACAAAAGGGAAGGCAAGCCCAGTCTAGTATCAAAGCCTCAATGGCGAGGAGCAAAGCTCACCCAAGAGAAAGGCTGGTTCAAAAAGGGAGCAAGTGGAAGTGAGTAAGCGCCTCACCTTTCCTCTCTGGTGATGTCCACTCCAACAGAAGGTGGTGCAGCAAGGATGTCTGTGATCAGTGGCAGGAATCTCTGGAGAATGAGTTTCAGGGAGGTGCAGCCAGTCTGCACGTAACTGAAAGACAAACAGAATCGGGTCTCACTTGAATTTCCTTCCTTTCCTCCCAGCGCAAAACCCTCGCTCACATCCAGTCACCGGGGATAATCTACTCCAATGACCCCCCCCACTTCCACCACCTGTAATCTGGTAAGGAGAGCAACAGCCAAGTACCAACATGGTCTTGGTTTGAGTCAAGACTGACAAAGTGAGCCCTTTCGAAAGGTCCTGGCATACACCCTGCTCAGTGGGACCTTTCTGCTCAAGAGCAGAGACGTCCTGCCGAGGGGACTTGGCAGGAGCCTCTCTTCCAGTAGGAAGGAAGGGCAGAAACTCCATCTTAAGAGAGAGGCTGCATTTGTTTGCCACCTAACAATGAGGTTCAAAGCAATCTTCCAAGTGACCCCAAGGCTGTTGCGGGGGACTTCATTTCCCCTTATCCCAAGTCGACAGTTACATTCCCATCAGCGCGCAGAGCCCACTTATTCTACACCGATTTGACCCCTCCTGGCTGCCAGAGCTGCCTTCAATCTAACACACCTACGCCAAATCTCAATACCCTTGCTCTTCTTGCCCATGCATACTTCCCATATCTTTTCCCACACACGCTTGGCAACTCCACTGCTCTTTTCCAGGCATCGTATCAGCATTATACGGTATCTGCTGTGATTCTTCAGGATTTTCTTTCAGCTACAAAATACCCAGTGGAGCTCTCCTATGAATATCCACACCTTGTCCCCCAAGCACACCATGTTCTTGGGGCCTCACCTTTCATATTTACTTTGGAGTAGTTTCTCTATCTGCGGCAGGACTATAGTACACAAATCCAGCTTCCAGAGAGACCTGAAAACAAAAGGACACATTCTGAGACCGGAGACCGAGGCTTTACAAGGCTGAGTCGACACAAATAATGCTTTCTGGCAAAAAAGCCCAGGCAGCGACACGAGGTTTACTGAGCAAGTTCACTGACTCCCCCTTGTGATAGAAAGTAGCAGGTTCTGACATATTTTATTGACTCTCAGCAGAATCACTTTATGAAGCCCTAAGACTTCAATTTTCCTTGCAAGACATCATTTACCTACAGAAAAGGCCCCATACATCTCCAGCAGTTACTGGCACTGCAGACTTGAAGATCTGACATGCATATGCCTTTCACGCTGCCATGGCCCACTGGACACGAGGCAGGTAGAATGCAGCGCTCCCAACACCCAGCCAGATGGCTCTCGGGTATCCCAGGGGCTGCCCCCACCCAGGACTCACGCTTTTTGGTTGACAATATTCAAGAGGTCCACAACAACAGACAGATCGTTGATCGCCACTGCAGAGTCCACAGAGTTCTGAGAGAGAAGGGGAAGAAGGAGTCATCTATTGCAAAGCTCAAACCGGCTAGACTAAAGCAATTGATATCAAGTGCCGCTTCTCAAAAACAAGGCAGAGGAAAGGCAGAGCTGGCTAGGGAAGAGAAGATAACTCTCGCATGAGAAAGTTTTCTCCATGTTTCTTTGTGACCATTCAACCGCAGGTGGGACACAGCAGCACTCTGCGGTGCACCCCTGGGGACAAAACCTGTGAGACCCTGCATTTCATGTAAGAGGCAGAATCGGCCCCAGACAAGCCAAGAGGTGCTCAGTTGCTCCCCTCACGAGCCTCGGGTGTCTCCACATCCTTGCCTTGATGTCACCGGTGCTCCATACAGCCCGCACGGTGTCCAGGTTCTTGTGACGGCTGGTGAGTACCACACACATGGTCTCGTGGCCTTTCCTGATCTGGGACATGGCTTCCTCGTCCACGAGCTCAGTCTGGCTTTGGTTTTTCACAGCCTGAAAGTACAGATGCCAATGGAGGAGCGGTAACAGAGCGGGATGGCACAGAAGGGTAGGAGCTTTCTCTGGCCTAGGTGAGAGCTAATTTTGGTGTACAGAGGGGACAGTAAATACTGACTTCCTTGCAGATCGTTTTATAAACATTTTGAAACGGAAATGCTCAAATTTGTTCCAATTTCAGCTACTTCTCTTTTGCCTCTTCTACTGCGTCAATCACAAACACATTCGAAGCTTTG